CAACTGAAAAAGTTAAATGTGTCCCGTGCGCTCATATGACCTTATGCAGTTGCGAGCGCCGTAAATCACTTTACAAAAACAAAAACAAACACATAAATATAAACACTGTATTCGCCCTGGGAATAGAGTTTTATACATCATTACATCTCTGTCCTCACCCTGAAAATATCTATATGATACATAATTACACATACTTATATACACTGTCGCCGCCCTGAGATTATATTTTTATGACACATAATTACGTATTATACTCTCTCACCGCCCTGAGCATACAGAAACAAGTGTGACTTTGTCTTACCATAGTCTATTGTAACAAAACAATACAGAAACAATTGCCACTTTGTCTTGCCATAGTTTTTGTGACATATTAATATACATTAAACATGAACAGCACTTTTATTAATTATCTTATAGTTTTTGCGACACAACATTAATATGTATATAAACAGTGGCCACTATTTCTTTTACCATAGTCTGTAGTGACAGAACAATATTATTATAATAATATTAAAGCATGTTCACTTTCGTCTGACCGTGGTCAAAACAAGATTAAAACAAATCGCTCTGTTTGATCTCCTCGGGTCTTTGCGTGCGGGTCTAAAAGTTGGATGACCAACAAAGTCTAGAAGCTCGTTAATGAAGGTTACTGCAAACTAAGGTTTCGACACGTTTTCTTTGATGTTAACCTAAAGCAGGATATATAAAAAATAATAATAATAGGAGATTTACAGCACACGCTTAAAACATCAAAAAGTTGACCTACTCATCAACACCACACTTCAACGCACACCTATGAAATATGGTCCTACAAAGGAGTGAGTACTTTCCGAAATGTCTAGACACGTCCTGAGATAAAAACTACACTGAAATATTGGGGCAGGGTGGTGTCATTGTCTCAAAATGAGCAGTTTGTAGGCTAGATCATTGTAAACCAATAATTGGATCGATCCTGTGCATGTGCTCAGAGCAATTTGCCGATCTGCGCAATCTTGGTATAATTGTTCGGCAATCTGAAGATGGCGTTAATATTTTATATTTTTGAAATAATTTTTTTATACACTTCCATCTTTATTCTTTTACTCACATCAAGGAATATTCACATACATTTTCAAAAGTGTAAAAATATGAAAATCAAAATTAGAATTAAAATTAAGATAATATAAAACTGAAAAGCTCAAAAGAATGATACAATGCCAGGTATCAAACTTAAAGTTCACAAAGTACATTTAATTTAACTGCAAGAAAAGCACGGAAGCGTTTCTGAAAAAAATATTTTATGTTTGGTCGCTGACCTACCTGAGTGCTATGTGCACATTAGTAAATTGATGATTAATGTAAATGTCTTTGTCCTTTTTTAACGCGGACAGATGAAAGCGAACATGTTATATAATAATATTTATATAAGCAATGACCACATTTTCGCACAATAGAATGTTATGACCGAGCAAAAAAACAAAAAAAACATAAATATTATAAACAATGATCAATTTATTTCACGATAATGTAGTGACAGAACATTACAAAAACGGCCATTTTGTTTTACAATAATCTGTTGCGACACAACAATGTAATATACATAAACAATGACTACTTTGTCTTACCATATTTTGGTCGGCAGAGAACCCCAGCCCGATCCAGCCGGCGGTGGTCGAGCCTATGTCAGAGGTCAGAGTGTACAGGCCGAAGTCTCCATCTACTCTCCAGCTGACCACAAACTCACAGGCGTCCCCCGAGCACTCGGAGAAGCATCCCTTGGTCACTGAACACTCCGGGTCGCTGGGCACCGTCGCCTAGACGATTATTATTATGATTATAATAACGGAAGAAGAAGAAAAAGAAGAAGAAGAAGAAGAAGAAGAAGA